GATGATGTGGGTATGTTTTTTATCCTGAGGTACAGTAAGCTATGAAAAGAGTACCAGAAATGACTACTTTTCTCTTTGGAATTGGAATTGCTTGGCCATACTTTTTTTTTTTTTTAAGTTAACTTGTAAGCACCTCCATATTTTTAAACAGAGAACTCTCTAAAGGCACAGCTGTCTATGAAGGAATACTAGAAATATTTTTAAATGCGTGGAGCTAGGTTAACAGCTTAATCCAAAACATATTTAATACCATAGAGGAAAATACATTCTTTGTCTTCTGAGGTTTTTGGCATTGTAAAGATTCCTTAGTCTGCTTCAAGGTTATTCAAATCTGAGGTGTCCTTAAGAGTCTCTTTAGAAAGTAGGTTGGTGTTTATATTGAAAACAGGAATAGGAAACGGTATTAGTTGTACTTTTTGGGATGTATGTCAAAAATAAATTAATTCCTTTATCCTTCCTAGCTGGAATGGCTTTATTTGTATAATATTTGTAGAAGTTATTTTGCATTAAAATCAAACTTACAGGATTGACTCTTGAATTCTAGACTAACTTTGAATAATTGGACCTGCAGATTGACTATCCACCATTTGAAAAAAATTTTTACAATGAGCATGAAGAGATAACCAACCTCACTCCCCAGCAGTTAATAGATCTCCGGCATAAGCTCAATCTTCGGGTAAGACAATCATTAAGTCAAATATTCTTATATTAACATTAGTTAGTCCAGATTTAGTATTATTGCTTAACCAAACTAATAACCTTGAATTTATTTTCTAATGGTCCTTAAACTGTCTTTGCTAGAATAATTCTTATATCCCTTGGGTTCATGTGTGTCTTAATTTGATTGTTTTAGTCCTCCAGGTGATATTTTAGGATAGGATCATTTTTTTCTTTAATAGATGTGAACAATATATGAAGTCTTATTTTGAAATTAAGATATACTTGTTTCTCAAATTATGTACAATATAGTTTTTTAAAAGTATTAAAAGAAATTAACACCTTTCAAAGGCATGCATGCACTAATTTCAGAATAATAGTTTAAATTGCCCATGAAAAAGTTGTAGGTTGCACATTGGTCACATTGTTTAGGGTGCTGAGAGATGTTAAGTGAAACCACAGAGAAAATATCCTGATATCTACTCTAGTGTGAACAACTTTCTGGACTATGTCTGCCCTACCAGTTACTATGTTATGTTTGAACTCACGTTTTCTGAGCAGGGAGGCGGTGTGTGTGTGCGCATGTGTGTACACTTTTCTGTTTCCCAAGAGGTTGCTGATCCCCCCAATACCCCCAAAAAGCTTTTAAGTGAAATCCTGATTGAATATATCAGCACCACTGGAGAAGCATTGAAGGACACCGCTGTTGGAGACAACATGGAATTTATAAACCCCATTCTTCACCTGGGCTCAAAACAGTGCCAGACAGTAGCTGGACCATCACCAAGTGAGACATTAACTTGTTAGGCATCACTGAAAACGGAGGTGATAGATTATATTTTTGTAACCAGTGTGTGTAGGCTTGTCTTATTCAGAGACCATTTGCAATTTTCAGGAGTAAGATTTATTCATTTTTTCCTACCCCTGGGTTAATATTTATGCAGTATAGCAAAAAAGAAAATTAATGACTTTTCCCAATTCAATGATTTTTCCTCCTTCTTCATTATTTCTTAAGAGAAAATTAATTTTGATTTAAGAGATTTTTAGGTACCTAATCATTTTAAATCGTGTGACAGTTATCTCAGGAACGTTTATCATGGAGTTTTTTATGTGAGGTTTATATTCGAGGTTTTGCCTTTTCAGTGTATGCTTTTGGCTACAGACTTACATTTTCAGTTCTTCATACTCAAGCTAAAATGCTAGGTCCAGGTAAGTATTGTTGAACTTCAAGTGCTGTTTATGCTCAAGTACAAGTCATTCTGGGGAGTTGTCTCTATCTCTAGGTCTCTGGTGCTGCACCTCCTAGACCAGGAAGTAGCTTTGCTCATTTTGGGTTTGATGAACAACTTATGCACCAGATTCGGAAATCTGAGTACACACAGCCCACTCCAATACAGTGCCAGGTAAGTAAAATGTAATGAAAGAAAAACGAAGTAGAATCATATTTTGTAACTATAGTTTACAAACAAGTAAAACAGTGTTTAGTATGGAACTGTGTTGACATGGATAGAAGGTGTCCACATACTTCCTCTGTGGCTTAGTGTTCAGCTTTTGCTTTAATTAAGTGAAAAAAAGACATACAGGAAATCCAAGATTATTTTTGAAACCTTAAAAAATAAAGAGCAAATGTGAATTATGTACCACTCTAAAAACTTACTAAGTAATTGGGAAATGTTCTTTTGTATCTGATAAATATCTTGAAATACAATATAAAGAAAATAATTTGTGAGGCCTAAGTGTAACAAAAAATATTTGTGCATGGACAAATTTAGCACTGTGATTACCTAGGATTCCTTTGCCCATGACTTGAAAATTCTCATTTGTTACTGTAAGTAAGAGCTTCTGTTTCCCATTCATATATGGGGTTTATTCCTCTTCAGAAAATGAGAATTTTCTATACATGAATGAGATAGTCTGTACCAAGGGTGGGGAACCTGCAGCCTCAAGGCCACATGTGGCCACCCAG